TTTAGCTACAAACTAAAAAGGAGAGTAAACAGCACACTGCATTTCTCAGGCTTAGTGATGGTTGCCCGTGACCATGGCAACCCTGTGTGGCCACCAGGCATTTTCTCTGTAAAGGTGATTCCTCTACTTCCTCTCCCACTAAAATGCCTTATTGTCAGGATCATTGAGCTGATGGCCTTTTGATTAGCAGCAGCATTCTGAACCAGTGTGCCACCAGGGCCCCATTTTCCCTTCAGTAGTTAGAAATGATGATAACCAATTGCCGGCAAGTCGATGCCGACTCATGGCAACCCCCTGTGTGTCTGAGTAAGAACTGTGTTCCAAGGGATTTTCAGTGGCTGATTTTTTGAAAGTAGATCACCAGGCCTTTTTTCTGAGGTGCCTGTGGGTAGACTCAAACCACCAACCTTCTGTTAGCATTAACTGTTTGTGCCACCCAGGGACTCCAGAATAGATGATGGAGTTTCCAAAGCCGGGAGAGAAAACGAACAAGAAGTTATTGTGACCTAGATAATGGCAAGATTTATAAAACTACTCAAATCCTTGTTACCTGGCTGTGGAGTATTGCAGTAATAATACATGAGTAAATTACTCTATTCCTAGCATATCTGTACTTCACATGGTTGTTGGAAACACCTTCTTGAATAACATGTGAATCCTCATGTTTTCTGGATCCAGAAGCCATGTGGGTCCTTACTGCGTTTTGTTTCAGCTTTGAAGCTCTGTTGGACCATAAAAGACATCAACTTTTGGTAGCTTCTGGATGCATTCTCACCAAACTCCTCCTCAGTCCCATTGCCTTCCCCTGTCTGTGCCTCTGTCTTCCTTTAATTTCTATTCCATATGCTCCTATGTTATTTTTTCTCCTTGTTACTATCTATGAAACCTCCCTACCCCCAGCCTTCCCTCACTCTAGGTTTTCTGCTTTTTAGTGTGGTTGGTAATACTGTGGTACTAATGTAAACGTCTTTAGTAAAGCTCGATCTATTACAAATGTCTGGCCAAGGGTGTAAGTTGATGCTTCCTTCCTGAGAGCACTTTGCCAGAATCTATCAGTTTTAAATATACCCACCCTTTGTGACAGAAATTCCACTTGTAGAGCTTTATGCTCCAGAAATATTTCAAATGAAGATAATATGGTCAGGGGTGTTTATTATAGTGCTGTATGAAGTAGCAAAAGTCTAGAAACAACCTATGTGTCCATCCATAGGAGACTGGGTAAATAAGTTTCAGCACAGCCAAATAATGACATGTGTAGCCATAAAAAAAGAATAAAGTAGGTGTTTAAGTGCAGATATGGAATGAGCTCTAAGGTATAGTGTTAAGAGACAAACAAATCAAAACAAAAAAACAGTTTACAGAAAATGTGCTCCAGATGTGTTTAAAAGATAAAGGGTTTAAATCGACATTTATACTTGGTAACACATTTAAAAATGTGGAAAGATAAATAAAATACTATTACCGATAGTAACCTTTGTGGAAGAGATCCTGGGAGAGAGGCAGGCACAGTCTTTTTCATTGCTTATCTCTTTTTATCTTTTGAATTTATACCATGGGGATGTTTTCTCTTTTTAATATTTTTTAAACAGTGTCCTTGATGTTTTAGTTATCCCCTTCCTTCAAAGTTTCATGCTGCCATTATTGTTTAATTCATTTTGTAAAAAAAGGAAAATAGAAGCATTTATATTCTTGGCCTTTTTACTAAGCTCCATATGATAGTTTTGATCTTGTCTTTTCTTAAAAGATAAGTGGGACACTAATATCTTCTCTCTTGGTCATGTTTCACACTGTAATGTGTGGAAGTCCCCAGCAAAGTGAGTAGTACTTAGTAGGCATTCTGTGAGTATTTACTGTATTTGTTAAAAGAGATATCTAAGTGCAAACTTCTCAAACGAGTGTGTACAGTCACTGCCCCAAGCTCTTCTCGCACTTTGTTTTGTGCGTCTCTCACCTTTGACTCATAACATAAAGCAAGAGTTAAGGCACAAATGTTTGCGGGTGAGATGAAGAGAAGTGACGCTGATAAAGAGTGCTGGGAGGGCAAACCACATTCCTTCACGCTTGGCTCTTTTGCTTTGAGGTATTATCACCACATTACATCCTTTTAAAAAATTGTAACTTTGTATATGTGTGTCAGAAAAACGCAGTAATTATTTGTGTGTACTAGTTTACATACTAGTAGATACTAGTTTATACTTTATATATAACCAGAGATGGCAATGCTATTGTAAAATGCAAAACTGTGTTTATTTGTTGCTATTTGTTTATAAAATGTGATGCCGAACATATTCTTTATTTGTGGGTCCTGGCATTGCCCTTGTATTGTATATTGAATTACTTATTCCTTTTTGCTCTTCATGAGAGGAAAATAAGCACTTACCAGAAAATACATGTAACTCTGAAGGTGAAAAGGCTCAAGTTTGTTATGGGATGTAACTTTAATGTCTTTATCAAAGTAGCTAAACAGAGGCTTGATAGTCCTGCTGCAAGTTGTATACAGATGATGTTACAGGTGGAACTTTGGTGCCTTTTCCGTAGGCTCTCTCAGTTAAATTAATCCTTATGTTCAGGCTACTTAAATTGAGGCAGAGCAAGTTCCATTATCAGAGATTCTCACGAAATTTTGTTTTGGTTTTATTTCCAAATAATTGGATTATTGTTTTAATAGTTGAAAGCCTCTTGAGGTTAGGAATAGTATTTGCGATTTTGGCGGAATCTAATTTCTTTGAACTTTTAAAGCGTTAGGAAGTGAAATGTGAAGTCAGTGAATTCTTCTGATGGCTTTCATAGTCTGTTAGTTCAGTGTTGCTTATTTTAGCGGGAACGTATCTAAATGGAAATGTGTATTCACTGTAGTTGTAATAGTCTTTTTTAACTCTTTAAAAAAGCAGCTCATTTGGCTACAGAGAGAAAATAAAAAGAAATTTAAAAGGCTAATAAGCATAGGGCATGTCAGTCACTGTTTCCTAACTAAAGTTTACTAAAAAAAAAAAAGCGCCTGTGCCCCCCGCGAAGTCTGTGTGCACACACGTGCATCTGGGGGAGCGGCCTGCTCATTTGTTTGCCCATTGTGAAGCTGTCCTGCACCTTTGTGGGGTTTTTGTTACAGGGTGAAGGCCACTGAATGGAAGCCTTGTGCCCTGCTTGATGTGAAATCCTTGCTGTTAATCTGAAGGGACCTGCGGGCCGGCAGCGGGAGTCCCCCGGACAAGCCTGGGATCAGGAGAAAGCACGGTGCTGGGGGGCAGATTGGGGTGGGGGAGTGTGGTCAGAATCTTCCAGCTCAGCTTTTGTCCCACCTCAGCCTGATTATTGGAGCCCTGGTGGCGCAGTGGTTAAGTGCTCGGCTGCTAACCAAAAGGTTGGCAGTTCGAATCTACCAGCTGTTCTTTGGAAACCCTATGGGGCAGTTCTGCTCAGCCCTGTAGAGTCTCTGTGAGTCAGAATCAACTCCACAGCAATGGGTTTTTTTCAGCCTGATTGTTACCCTCTGCTGGCAGCCAGATTGAAGTGCTCCCCTTTCAGGATCCCTGGATTCCACGAGCTTGGCAATGACTCACCTTGTTGTTACAGAATAAAACCGGGAGGACTGGGATTCCATCCTGTCAACAAAATCCAGTACTGGGCATTAAACTTTGCCATGAGATGTTTTCTCTTGATTAATTGTTTTGGAGATGAGTTTAAAGGGAAAAAGGGCTGCTGGGTTGCTGCCTTCCCTTTTCCTTTAAGTCTGTCTACAGGTGCCCCGATGCTCGGCTGGTTAAATCTAGTTTGCCCAGCCTGCGTGCTTTGCAGCACCCGCTCCCAGTCCAAAGTTTCTTGGCATCAGGAGCAGTACAATTTTAAGTGTATACTCTGTGAGAAAGGGGTGGGGCAGCAGGAGCTTTTTGTAAGGTTTCAACTAATAAACATTAATTTTTAAAGTAGTGTTTTAGGGACTTCACGGAAGTAGCACTTGTATATAATGTTTCTTTAATTCCAGCACATACTTGAACAAGTGACAGGGAGAGCATTTTACTTTAAAGTATAATATTTTCCATTCTGTTTTTCTCTACAATCAGAAACTGGTTCTTCAACTTTCAGTGCCAGCTAGATGCTGTAATAGGCATTTCACATTCTGTCCTGCTGCTTGGCTTGGGGTGGAAATGGTGGTAGAATGTTAGTAGCTGGGTGTATGTAGTTCACCAGCTAGAGATCTGCATTGGGCAGGTTCTTGCTAGTATACAGTGAGCTTGGTGCGGTATGGCATTTGAATTATGTAATATTATTTCAGCATAATACTGAAACACAGAGAGTACCTTCAGGAAAGTGTTCAACAAATGTCAGAAAAACCATGTTGTTGATCAGTCTCCTGTACCTCGGCGGGTTTTTGGGGTGTATTTTGTCCCCCAGTTGTTTTATTCTTTATTGTGGTTCTCTGCAAATGGTGCCATGTAGACATATGGAGTTCTAAACATGAGACTTCATGGTTTGGGGAAAACCCCAGGACACCGTGAGCTTCCGAACTGTTTATGTTGTTTTGTGGGTTATTGAGAGGGCGTATTAAAAGTCAGTTGATAATAAAGTTTCGATTAATTATTTTGACATTTCTGGAGATAATATTAAAGGCTGCTCAACCAACATCAGGATTAAACAATAAAATGAGCGTCTGGTTTGTTCTGGTTAAAATGAAAGTTTGGCTGCAGCCAAACTTCCACCTCACCTTTTATCGACGTCGTGATCATTTTCCTGCAAAACTCACATATGATACGTAGTTTGTATAATCTTATAATAAATTCAAGTGTTAATTATATATATATTTGCTGTTGATGATTCACGGCTTTTATTGTTTATGCTTTCCATAAAGTGTTAAAGAAATGATAGCTAAAAAATTTGTATGTCTCTTTAAATATAATGTTAGTTGATAGTTTGTGATAAGTCTTTGCTTCATTTTGTCTACGGAAGAAGCTTATAACTCATTGAGATATTTATAAAGTGCTTTTGTATTTATGTTTGTTCAGGACTTGTCTCAGGAAGGCTATGGAACTAGGTCTCAACCTCCTCTGGCCCCCGGAAAACCTAACCATGAAGACTTGAACTTAATACAACAAGAAAGACCATCAAGCTTACCAGTAAGACATTAATGTGCTGATTTGGAAATGGAATGAGTTAAATAATTTTTTAAGGAGTTCTTGTTTTTGTTTGTTCTACTTTATGTTAAGTCTTGGGGGAGAGGTTTCCAGATTTCAGTTATGTTTTGTGATTTGTTAATTTTTTAGGGCATAATTCTTGGGAGCGATACGGTCCTGGCTAAGTCTGCTATTTCATTTGTAGGTGCTCTGTTTCAGAGTCCAGACACCAGTTGGAAGCTTTTACTTGGCTGGTTGGTTTTGTGAGCAAGCGGTTATTGCTGTAGTACAGTTGAGCTTTCTTTAGCCTGTTGCTTTCTGGTAATGATACAGAACAGAGGTGTCTGTATCAGAGTTGAAACTTAAAAGAAATTCCCATTTGGTAAAGGATATAAATGATGAGATTAAGCATCTGATAGTAGCTTGAATTTCTTCTGGGACATTGTATTTAAGTAATGAGAAATCACCCAAGCTTTTTTCACCTAAAAGAAAGTATTTGAATTTAAAATTTGACAAGGCAGCTTGTAAAATATTTTCACCAGCAAATAGTGTATGGTGTCTGGGGTATACATTGATAAGAGTGGTAGATACTCAAATACTTCAGCTGTACTTAATTTGCATTTTATAGGGAACCTAATTTAAATGAGGTTTTCCTTATAAACTAAAATAAATAAATAACTCTATGCAAATAAATATTTTTACATTTGATTGTTGAAATATTGTGACTGGAAGAGTTATTAATATTTAATCTCTATTACAAAACTTTGTTTAAGGTGGGCGTTCAGGCTAAGCAAGATTTTTATTTGAATTTCAAATATGGTTACATTAAGTAAGATTTATGATATCAGTTGTAAACATTAAAGACAAGCATTTATAGTTACTGTTACACATGACGTCTGGCTTGTACACCATACCCGTGTTTAGTAACATGCAGCCTTTGAGGGAAGATACCTGGTGGCTACAGGATATACACTGTCTTTGAATCTGATGTACATTTTTTTTTTTAAACCCAAATATTTACAGCTTTTATTTTTTGGTGGAAGGTGGTAAAGTTTTATTGTAGTCATTCAGTAGTCATACTGGAGTATTTATTATCTAGTTATTTGATCTTTGAAGAAATGAGAAAGGTGATGTTTCTGTGTTTTATGCTCTAAGTTTTTTTTCTTCAGTAGACAATTCACAGCTGAGTGAGTGTGTAGTGTGTGGTACTGTGTGTGTGCTGTTGATAAATGCAGGATTTGTGGAGTACTTGGAAACTGGCTTGTGGTGGTATAAAATTTAAATTGACTCATGGAAAACAGGTGGATAGTGAATTCCACTTTCTTTCACCAACTGTTTGTAGTATGGCCATACTGCTTTTAGTGTTTTTAGAGAAGCCCAGCTTTGTAAGCTTGTCACTGGTAGGTGATTTGTACTGTGATCCAGGTGGAAAGGTTGTCTGTGTAGATACAGATACTCTGTGTAGCTCTAAGAGTAGCTCACGGTATACTGGTTTCTTTACATTCTTTGGAGACCTGTGGAGTGACTCGCTGCTTATATGCTTGTGTGCATGTTGAGATGGATGGCTGACATTCAGCTAACTCCACAGCATAATTAGTGATGGAAGGAAGTGCTGTAGGCCCAGAAAGCTGACTGAAGAGTTGTGCTCTGGGAGGGGTGCTTTCTAAGTTGATTACTGGAAAAGGGGGTAGAAATATTTGGGGGCATGAACCACTGTATTCATCAGTAGTTTAAATTTTTTCTGAATTGTTCTATTTGTATGCATATAATAACTTGCCACCTTCCTTAGTCTTTATCTTGTCTGCTTCTCAAGAGAATTTAAGGTTTCTTATATTGCTGTTAAAAAAATAAATGCTTAATTGGTATTTTCTTTCTGTTTTTGTAACTTACAGATGAATAGGAGGCTGATTGACTCAGTAACACTCTAAGCACATTTAGTAGTCTCTTTTACAGAGCAAAGTTTCTAGGTTTTATGGTGAGTATATAGAAGTGTTAGTTACTGGATAAAGGGCAAACCAAAGACCAGCCTGTGTACCTAAAACCCAGCCAATCTGTTAGGGTGAAAATTGGCTTTATTTACATGAACTTCAGTGTGACACTTCTTTTCACCAGGGCTTTGTATGTGTTAGAAATTTCTACATTGGGCTTACAAATATATTTATGTGGATGCTGCATCGATAAGTTGTTATGCATAATTAAAGTAATTATTGTTTTGTGGAAAGATTTGTTGCTATTCTGTTATTGCTCTATTACCGTGTATTTTCACAGTGTTACTTTTATTAAATATTTTAGTTCTCTAAGTTGAGTAAGTTGATACCATAGGTACCATAAAGCTGTCTTTGTTGTCACATCTAAATGTATTATTGGATCGTTTGTAGACTTACTCATGCTATGCTGTTCCTTTTCAAGTGTCAGTGATATAGATTTATCTTTTTATTTAAGATCAGGGAAAATCCGTCATATTTGTAATTTCTAGTTTGTAATTTGGAGCTAAATAAATTGTGACTCTTACGATTCGCAGCTTTAAAAAAATATAATGTAGTGATTCTAATGTATAATTTTTAGGGCTTTATCTATTACATAACAAAAATGCTTCTCCAGTAGTTATCTCTTATATCTTATAAGAAATTATTATGATTATTTTTATAACATATCTTTTTGCTTATATTGGGTTAGATTTTGTAATTTTTTTTGCATGCATGATAAATATTTTCTTAAGAATTGACAACTTCCCATTACAAGAAATCCGGACATTTCCAATATCCTCATGCTAGATCTATAATTTGAGCTCAGTAAGTTGTCCTCTTACCATTGATGGATGTTATATTTATCTATATTTGCATGTCATTAAATTCTTGGTGATCTTCAGTAGCTAATGCAGTTATGCTTTCCAGCTGACTGGTATAGATTGTCAAATCATTCACACAAAGCAAATGACTGATAAATTAATACTTGTCCTCTATTGTCTTGGGGACATGACCAGTCATATTTACTTTTTTGCTTAATGGACTCAGACCTAAGCTAAATGAGAGAGGACTAACTAAATCTTCCTCAGAAATATTCATGTATTTCTATACCTCTTAGTCATACTACTTTCTCCCTGTTGAGATACATTAGCTTATATATTGTTGATATTATCACTATTAGTAAATCTTAGCATATAGCACGTGATTCAAAAATTACTTTGAAGATCTCTGTTCCCTTAGAATATTATCACTTAAAGTTTTAACACATTCTGTAGTTTTTACTACCTCTAATATTGATATGAAATGAAGCCAACATTTAAGCAGAAGACACGGTGAAAGAGCTAAAGGATGCTATGGCTTATTAACTACTTTGCTTCATGAACAAGGAGCCCTGGTGGTGCAATGGTTAAGCACCTGGCTGCTAACTGAAAGATTGGTGGTTTGAACCCACCCAGTGGCTCTGTGGGAGAAAGACCTGGTGATCTGCTTCCATAAAGATTACAGCCTAGAAAACCCTATGGGGGCAGTTCTACTCTGTCACATGGGATCTCTGTGAGTCAGAGTAGACTGCACAGCTCCTAAGAACAACAACAAAACTACTTCATAAACATTGAGCACATCTAATTTACATTCTAAGATAACTACCCAAAATACGATTTAGCACACCTTTTGTTGAATCTTTTGTTAGGTGTACCTCTGTTGTGGCATTTCCTATTCATTCTTTTATTACAGTTATTTTTATTATAACTGTCTTGGCCTCCCCTATTTGAGTAGGATCTTTTCAGTGTATCTGTTATGTGTTACTCAGTAAACATTTGCCAAATAGAACTTATATAAAAACCTCTTTTTAAATACCTGTATCTCCCAGTTTTAGAATATATTTATTAAATTGTTCATGTTGTTGACTTCAGGAGGGCCTGTGTCCTCCATGGGCTAATGATAGGGGAGGACTGAGTCAGGGCCCTATTGTATTGGCAGGCTGCTGTTGTTCTTCAGGCCATTTTCTTTTATTATACAATGGCATTTGAGTTTTACCTTTGCAACCTTAAGCTTCAAGAAAAGAAGTAGCATTTTTAGATAATTAAGCTAAAAATAGTATGTAAGCAATCTGTTCTTGGTAGTGTATCATTTTTAATTGTAAAGATAAATAAATTGACAGTAATGGTAATGCAGAATTTCAGTAATTGTAGTACACAGAATGTAGCTAATAAAATATTGGTAAACATGTACAAAAGGAAGTAAACAAAACAAAAAAGTCTGATTTTTCTTCCTCATTCTAAGCAGAGTACTACTGCCTTTCCCTCCAGGGGTCGGAAGAGTTGTTCCTATTCCTTCCTCAGTTTAGAAGTAACTAGCTTGTTTTATCTTCTGAGTGGCCTGCGCCTAGTTTTGTATTTGAGATAGTCAGGCCCATTGTTCTGTTAACCTAAGTATTGGAATTCGAGTAACTTGGCGGTCACATTCTAACAGCAACTGAGAATAGACTGCTTTGCTCTGACTTTGTAGAAAATGTCTATAAATATTGGCTGTTTTGGAAGGCCCATCAGGTAATAAAAAACCTCTTTCTGCCCCTTTTTTCCTTAAATAGTGTATATCTAAAGAGGTTGACATGAAAAGGATTTGATCTTCTGAGTTAACTAAAAAATCCTAAATGTTATGCGCAACAATGTTTATGGCACTTTGGTTGAGTTTGCAATTAGAAGGAAATACTGGGCTTTAGACAAAACATATGTTTTTTGGTCCTTTGTCAAAGGAAGGAGGTAGTAGATGCTGGTTGTTCTTTAAAATAGCGGGTGTTAAGCAGGGATTGGCAGCCTAGAAGAGAATGGCTGGGAAACTGTTATTACCAAGAATATTCTTTTGGGGGTTAGGTATTGGCAACAGGGCACATAATGTTCTGTCTTTACCGAAAGAAGAATATGCGTATTTGTTTGTTTACTTTTGTTTTTGTGTTTTTAATCTTTAATGACATTTACATTGGCTAGGGGTAAAAGGTCATGTGTTTCTAAAGCATAATATGAATATTAATGATATGGT